GGGGGGGGGGGGGCGATTACCAATAAATAATTATGTCACAGGATTAATATTGCTTGCCGATAAACTGATCGGTCCTTAATGGCTTGTCAACTTTATATATATGTATATATATTATCCGATAAATAATTCCCACGCTTTCACGCACGTTTACCTAAATCGCAATAAATACTGATATTCGCAATAAATACAAATATTAGATATTTGCCAAATACTACAGTTCAAAGTGAAAAAACCTTTTTTCTTTGTACAATCATCATTTTTAATTAATTCTATCTAATATCACCCCGGTCATCCCTCGACAGTTTTCCCTGACATGTGAACCAGATTTATATTCACATATGTACACACGTGCTCGAATATTTTCTAATCCTATTTAATGCCTTCGTACTCGTACGTTGATTGGACACGGATCGATACCGGAAGTCCTTTTCGATTTTCCGATAATTATTTACATGGTTATATATATATATATATATACTTAATACGTGTGACAATGGACACGCTTTAGTTACCTCGTGACGTCACATATGTCAAAAGCTACATATTTCCAGCGTGCACGTGTATCCTCGTATGACGTTGCACACCTGGAACGTCATACCAGACGAGTGGGCAGTTGCGATTACATACGTGACTAGGTGTATATACAGTATACGTCATATGTGAACATAACGTATGATGCAACGGCTCCTATAATTTCGATATGCAATAAGACGCGTGGGTATTGGCACATATGCCGGGGACGAAAGGCTTCGTGAAAATTGACCGTAATGAAAATAATTTTAAATGATGTCAATAATTTAATTTTTTTTTTCAATTTTTTTTTTTTAAATAAGATCTGCATTTACGTTAAGACGTTTTTGGTCGTAACTTTTTAAATATTTTTTAATCGCCTTGCTCAATGAATAATATTATATCGTCTTGTTTACGCCAGGAGCGACTCTTACTGAGCGTCTTGCCGCGCCACGTGGCCATGGAAATGAAGGCAGACATTGCCGGCAAGCCGAAAGACACCATGTTTCATAAGATCTACATACAGAGGCACGAGAACGTCAGGTGTGTAATGTACCTTTAGGTTATTGACTAAGTGAATCAATTGAAAAAGTTATTGAATTCCTAGGCGCGTCAAGTCCCCCCGTCAAATCTTACTGTCATATCGTCGAAGGGAATAAGCCTGTATACTGAGTATCTACCCTTATCCAAAGTAAGCCACCCCCTTGTGCAATGTAATTTAAAGTAAAATCTGGCAGAGTCCTTTGTGGTTTAAAATAGGATCGGATGGATTTCTTAAATTTTTTTAAGCAAGAAACAACACCCTCAGATTTACCCTTAAAATTGAATTTCTTTTTGTTTCACAACTTTTTGCCATTACTTTAATTAACTTCCAGGGCATGCGCGTGGTATGGCAGACCAGATGGGTGTGCATTCCTTATGGGATAAAATAAAGGGCGCCCGGCACTGCAGGGTTTATTTAACGAGATCTTTTTATATCTTTTTCCTGGATAATACGTCGATTCGCTTATTTATCGCCGTTAACGTTTATTATTCAATTGTTTCAGCATCCTGTTTGCCGATATATGCGGCTTCACTTCTCTGTCCGATCAGTGCACTGCCGAAGAATTGGTCAGACTCCTCAACGAACTTTTTGCCAGGTGAGCGGAGAAGGTGGAAAAATGACACAGGAGAAAGAAAAGTTTCTTCTAACTTTTGTTAACGCACTCGTAACAATTCCCATGAAACTTTTTTCTTTTCTGCCTTCCTACTTCGTTCAGAAGAATTCAGGGGTTAATTGGCCGTGGCACGGTCGAGGTCACGCACGCTTATTATTCTACATATATATATATATATACATAGAAATTGCACCACCTGAAATTCTTTCTGTAACTTTCAAGTGTTCACTTTCATGAAAGCGACACGAAAAGACATCCCGCAGCTTGGTCGTTAGAGGAGAGTTGCACGAAAGTAACGGTAAATCTATTTTTAGACAAAAAATTCAAATTTCCATTCCGACAAGTATGACAAAAAAAGGGGGCGAGGGGGCATCTGCCGTAACTTTGCTCGAACAATGATTTCCAAATGGCTTTTGCACCTACTGAGATTCGACAGGAAATTTAGTTTACACCATCTCATTCGACCCCTCAGATCATCCCTCGCGGAATCTTATACTGGACCATAAGAAGGTTGAGAAAAAAGAAATTGAAACAACAAAAATACCTCCACTGGGTCAAAATGAATTTCCCGCCTAAAATCGTCCGACCGTTCGATGGGGTGTGTCGTATTTCAAGGGGATGAACCAATAATAAGGGTGGTTTCGTAAAAAAAAAAAAAAATCGAAACTCCCTAGAAAGTTTATTCGAAATCGAATGAAGAGCATTTTGGACAGACCAGACGTCATTAAGGGTTGCTGTTAGGTTACGTGCGGTTTAAAAAATTCAACCCTTGTCCAAGCCACGGGATATACAAACCATTAGGCTACCGGAGTCTGGCACGCGAGTAACATAATGCCAAATGCGGCTGAACGTGAGAACGAATCTGTAGGAGAAAACGTTGTAACATAAACGTCCGAGTGTAAAAATCGTGTTACCTCTCTGCTGATCTAGAAATAATAATAATAAACAACAACAATAATAATTCCTCTGGTGAGAAATTAATTACTATAATTTTATCTACGACCAAGCCGTACGTTATCCAGCTGCCTGAATATCTCATGACCATGTATACCCTCGTGATAAATAATGCCACTGTGCACTGTATTGTTTGCGATAACGTATGCGAATAATAAGCATATTAATACGAATAGCTAATAAATCATAATAAATCCTAATATACATATTAACCGTAGTGATGCTCGCTTAACGGCTGTACTCTTATGCAAAATCTACAGGGGGTTGAATTTCTGGTGAAATTAACGATAAGGGTTGTTTCTCAAACACCGTGTGTATATATATATATATATATATATATATATATATATATACACACACAATGTATATGCATGTAGAATCAGGCTATAGATGTTAACGGCAGGATTCGAGAGGGATGGCCTATGAGGTCAAAACCTTTGTGGAGCATCTAAGGGTCGATGATACCATTAATGGCGCCCTTAAATCTTATTAATAAACCCTTTAACATAATTGACCCGACGGGGGCAACGCAGCCAACCCTCCACGCCTTCTTACATCAAAGATACCTAAGGTAGCCTACCGTTATCTTATTTACGTAATATGTTAGCTACCTTAGCACGTCTAACGGGTGCTTCTATTAATATCCTGTCAGGACGACGCAACTTCCTCTTGCACGGGGATCCCATCTTCGTCCCCCCCTTTCCCCCTCCCTTCATCCTCCCTCACTCTAATTCCCTTTTCAAACCCTCTTAGCATTCTACTCCTGACTCGTTCGTATATTTATCAGTGCGACACGCATGACTGGAAAAACGTCACCCGGTATATATATATATTTCACGTAAAAGTATCCGACAGACCCTTTTACTTTGGTCTTCCTTTTAAGTTTAACTCTGCTTGAGCATCAGTCCGCGACTGTTTCAGGCCGATTCGGAAAGATCAATCAAATTTTCGTGACGTCACTCTTGTATGAAACTTTTATTAAAATTATTTCGGTGACTATGGTTATTGGGGTCGTACATTTTTTTTTTTTTTTTTTTTTTTTTTTTTTTTTTTTTTTTTTTTTGGGAAAAATTCACAAGGCGTCATCACGCTCGTTTACGTACGCATCGTTGTTATTGCTTTACGAATTTTTATACAGGAAAATTCTTAACCCTCATCACGTATCCGGCGTCACGGATTTGTGAATCTTGTAAATAGAATATTTTTTATGAAAAAAAGTGCAGGGGACTGATTTTTCGAAAAAAACAGAGTTCACCGAAGCGAGAACTTCATGGGGTTGTAGCCCCATGGAAATAGATCTTGAAGTAATATGACACTGTGATCTAGATCTTTCCTATGGTGCATGCAGTTTGTATGCTTGTTTACTCGTACGTGACCAAGTGCCATTTTGTTCAGGGGTTCGAGTGGAGATTCGAAGCTTTATGAATTCGTCGAGTTTTTAGGTATTGGAATTTCAATGGATTTACTCAGATGCATATAAGAGAAATTGCTAGGTATTCCTTTCTTTCATTTTACATCATATATGTATATATATATATATATGATACATATACATAAACACACACAGACTTTTTTGTTTATTTCTTTTTCCATTTCTCCCTCTTTCTCTCTCATCCACAATTCTCTCAAGTTACTAGCACGATATTGAATTTCTCAGTAAGGAAACAACTTCTTTGATTTGTCTTTCCTTATAAATTATATATATATATATATACACATATACTTCCCCTTCACCGTTACTTCTTCTATAAAAGCGTCATTTCTTCTTTCATCCTTTTAAACAGACCTGGGACACACCTTTAAGTCTCACCATGTTCGCAGTCAACGTACTGTCAAGACGTTCACTTTTTTTTCGCATTTACATACAAAAAAGAGTAACAGCTAAGTCATGTCTGACTTAGTCTTGAAGTTTTCTACTGGCTGTTTTTAAGCTTGTTCTGATTTCCTCTAGAGTGGCAACGTGAAAAAAATATAGTTCGAATTTTTTTTCCTCACCTTTTCTTCTTTTTCGTGTTTAGTTTTTCTAGGGATTTATTAATCCTTTGATTTTTTTTTCATTTGCCCCCCCCTCTCCCCCCCTCATCCCATTCAACTATTATTCTCGTTAAACGAAATTTGGACAATGACCAAGAGCCAACCCTTCCAACCTTATTTTGTAAATAAGGAAAATATTTCAAAACGAACGTCCGCTCAAGACCCGAACGATATTTATGAAGCTGTCAGACTTTCGTTATGGCCTCGTTGAATGGCGAAGCTCAGCAGCGACCACGTAGACGTATTGCAGAATTTCTCGTGGAACGATCCATCATATCCATTTGCCTTTGTATCAGCCATATACATATTTCATGATGGCGAACGATTTATAAGACATCGATTTTTATGTTTATGCGCAGCTTCTTTTTTTTTAACACTTTTCACAAAATCAACTTGACTCAGATACTACCTAAATACCATATATCATGCGTGGAAATTTTTAATTTTCATCGAACCATTGTTTTCCCTGGTGACATTTTTCCTGGGGATATTTTTATTTCACGTACCCTTTTTTTTCCAATTACCCATCGACCACTGCTTCGTTAAGGTTTGACGATCATTTCAAGAAGCTATCAACAAACACTTTTGATTTTCATAGTATATACAGCTTATCGGTCTGTATAGGTGATTGGAAAAACACTGACTTTAATATGCATACCACCCACTCAGAAATTCTCAGGGCGCCCGGGGCTTGTTTAAGGCCAGTTAATCCTTTGAGACTGACGAAATTTCTATCAAGGAGAAGCTTCGGCTGATTCAATGCGAACACAAACCTTGGCTCATCCTGTCTTAGGGTCCTGGAGTGTATTTTCGATCCTGACCCTTTTACGCCTTAGGGCGTACAAGTGCAAAGTTTAAGTAGTCGGAGATCCGAAGAAGTCAAAAAAAATCAATGTCAAAACAGTTAAAAGGATTTTTCGCAATTCAGATAGTCAATTTTAATTGATCTTTTTTATTTTGCAGATTCGATCGACTCGCCTCGGAACATCATTGTCTACGGATCAAACTTCTCGGTGATTGTTACTACTGCGTTTCCGGGCTACCTGAACCCAGACCAGATCATGCTCATTGCTGCGTGGAAATGGGATTGGACATGATCGATGCTATAACGTGAGTTCACATCAATTTCATGTTCTCTCGGTCTGGTACAAGTTTCAGGGAGTTAGATGGATACGCCAATGTTTAGATATATCTTCCTAATCATGCTGCTTGGATTTACATATGGTATATAATGTTACCATATATATGTATATGTATATCAATCTTCGTTGTGATCACAAAATTAATGGTTACCGTTTTCACTCAATTTCCCTAGGGACCTTTGTAACTTCACATTCAACAAATGCATTTGAATTTTGGCGCCGTTTTTGAGGAGCCATTTTAATTACTGTCCGCATAATTAGTTTCATCAATGACGTTGTTCAACGAAGTTTTGTAATGCTATGACGTCACTGGTTAATTATCCCAGGGAGAAACTCAGCCATAACTCATGAACAATTTGAATCCATAACCTCCCTGACCTATTGATTTGATCATGAGTGGAACTGGACCTGATTGATAGATACCTGTAAGGATCAATTATTGATTAAACGGGTATCCTCGATGCAAGGAAATTTCAAGATGGCGGCTGGAGGCTTGGTCCGAACCGTAATACAAAATAGCAGCTGTCAATTTCATTAAGTGTCAAATATTATATTTCTCTGTAGAGAATAAATAGGGGCTGCTCAATATTGATTCGACGTCCCTCGCCATGAGATACGTCAGCCAGCATTTTAATCCACGTTACGTCCGCTTCGTTGACGAATCTCTCAGCCGGAAGTTGCTATCCGGTATTACGGCAACGTTATTAGATGTGGCAATTAGATACTTGTATGTCTATAGGTAGCAGGACTTTCGTAAATTCGTTAGTTGGATCATTACCTGTATTTTTCATTCAGACGAATGTAGCTTGGTATGGTTATATTTGTTTTCTTCTTTACTTTCGTTTATTTTTCATTCTTAATTTGACCATGGCAGTAGATTTCTTTTTCACTTCGTCGTAGTTCATTATTTTTCTTTGTACAGTCTATTTCCATTGAATATACATTAAAGAAATATCTTTTATAGCCTCTATTGACTTCGTTCTCCTTTTTATTGTAGTGTCATAAAGAAATTGAAGTCTTCTAGAGAGAAAACCAAACCTAAAAAGCAAAAATACACGTCACTCACTGTTAATCCAAGTATATAAACTACCGGAGTCAATTAAATGATTAGTCAAACGAATGATGTACCGTATATTTGTTATTTATTCAAAAATTGTATATATATCTTTGACAGACTTGTCAGAGAAGTAATGGCGGTCGACGTAAACATGCGTGTCGGTATACATACCGGCAGAGTCCACTGTGGCGTCCTCGGTCTAAGAAAGTGGCAGTTTGACGTCTGGAGCAATGACGTCACCTTGGCTAACTACATGGAAAGCGGCGGCATACCTGGGTAAATACCTCGGATCGTCTCACAGTCCTGGTCGGTATACCGTGAAATAACAATGTTTCAGGCGCGTCCACATCACCAAGGACACCCTGGCTTGTCTCGACGGTGACTACGAGGTGGAGGAGGGTCACGGGGGAGACCGTAATTCTTACCTGCGGGAACACAATATCCAAACGTATCTTATTGTCCCTGGAGATACTTTCCGGGACACTACTACTTCGGGATTGAGAAAAGCATATCCTGTCAATGGTAACGTCTCCAAGGAGATGAGGGTGATGGGCCACGGTTCTCAGCATGGTAAACAATCAAAGTGAGCACTGTAATGAATTTTCATTAATCGAATTTTACCTCCAAGTGATTTATTGTAAGTATCAGTCAATTATGGTACTTAATTTATTTGCACTTTCTTCTGTCTGTGGATTTACTCTTGAGCTTTCTTTTTTATTATATACTATTCTCATTTCACGCAGATTGGGATTTGGCGAGACTGTCGAGTGCGAGAAGGATCCCGAAGACGAGGTCAATGAATACCTTATGAGAGCCATCGACGCCAGGAGTATTGACCGACTTAGAGCTGAACACTGCACCCCTTTTATTTTGACTTTTAGACGACCTGACATTGAGGACAAGGTAATAGGATTTTTTTTTTATTTTCATACACATCCCAGTAATCACGATATTATATGTGACACACCCGTTAGATTACAATGTCACCGTCATTTGTGTAATGTCAATGAACTAATTGAGGATATAAGAGTACCAAAGGGTGCCATTTTTGGGGTGAAAATTATGCAGAGTTTAAAATTTATAAAAATAATAATTCACAAAAAATTTTCTAATCTTTTTTTTTTTTTAGTATTCTCGTGAACGGGACCGGATGCTGTCTGCTTATTTTGTGTGTTCCGGTTTTGTCTCCGTGATCATCGTCATCGCCATTGCGATAACTCTTCCAGGGTAAGCAGACGTTTATTAATTGTTCCGATTCGTTTTTTATCTTAAAATAAAGTAGTCGTCAATAATGATATTCGTAGGTGAATTCAATAATGAATTTTTTTTAATAATATTTAATATTCTTTTTTCAGTACGGTCTACTTTTACGCCTGCACTGCAGTCAACATCCTGATAATCACCCTGGTCAATGGAATTTTATTGGCTGAGAAGAACGAGGTAAAAATCAAGAAACCCCATCAACTGGAGTACAAAAATCCTTCATCCCCTTGTCCCAGCTGTGCAACCTTAGTACTCCTTAGGGTGAACGTATGCACATACGACGTCCATATGGTACCTACAGTATGTTGTGCCTCATCGACCTGGTTGACTTTTTTTGGAAAGCTGCCATTTTCTCTTAACCTTGACGAAATGGCAAGTTTCCAGGTTAACCACGATGCCATCGATCTTTCCTGTATCTTATCCTCTTGGGACTCGTTTGAAAATCTTTTGGAACTTCAGGGAAACCTGTGACACGCAGATACATATATGTACGCGAACACGTGTTCAAATTTGAAAAAACAGAAACTTTTGTGCCAAGATAAATGCTGCTCGTGGGAAACGTCTCATTTGTTCTGGTACGACGTCTCTTTGTCTTTCTTTTTTTGTTCCTGTATTACGACGACACTGTCCTTTTCTCTCTGATCTCATCCCTAATCCAATCCACGATAACAGACAAATTTGCATTTTCAGACAATCAGATTTTGAGATCATTAGAAAATTTTAAGACTTGTCGAAGTTCGAGTTGTCCATGTCCCACTGTACCATGACGTGGCTTTTACTTTGTACGCTGTTAAAATAATGAACTGACAGTTTGCCATGGCAAAAGTTATCAGTTTATGCGATACATTAAAAAAAAGTCTCCCTTAAGATTAATACTTTTAAGCATTCTCACGAACTTGTTAAAATTTAATGCGCATCCTCTCACGCTAAATATTCTTTTAATTTAAGGCGGTACCACAATGGGTGCGAAGCATGTCGCTTCAGATTTTCGAAAATCGAATAGTCGCTCAAAGCATAGCGTCGACCATCGTTTTCTTAACGTTCATCACAGTGCTTTCACCACTGGTAAGTATTTGTTTTTATTAATAAAAATTTTCCAATATTTCCAAAACTCCAAATGTGTAATCAAATAACAATGTGAAAACCAAAATCCAAAAACTGAAATTCACGTTAGCCAATAAATCTAAAATGTTGAAGTCAGTAATTAATGAATTGAAAGCAAAAAAAAAGGCAGAAAATTTAATCAAAATTTCACATGAGTTTCGCTCAAATCATTCTTTCTCAATAATTCATTTAAGGAACCCTCGATAGACGCGAGACTTCGTAAACTAACTTAATCTGACAGCCCGTTCCATTACCCCATAAAACACATTGACCTTTAATGGTAAACCGGAGTATTCGCGATGGCCGAGATGTCCCATAAATTACATAAGCCATGAAAATTTTGTCGAGATACACGATACGAGGAAGTTCACGCCTCGACCAAGCTGTAAAGTTTTATCAGGATATCGATAAATCTTCTGGGGGTGATTGGATCCTCAAAGTCACGACACATTTGGGCCAGAGCCATACGAGACTCTTGGTCTTCGTACCAACCGATGGTAACCAGGATCCTACGGGAAATTGAAAAAGTGTTAAAGAAAACTAAAGATACGTGGATAAGGAATGACGATGAGAGAAAGAGAGAAAATCGTGATAAAAAAAGTAAGGCTAGGGATAAAAAAGTATATACATTTACACGCAAGACCTAGTACAGTCCCGGAGTCCTTACCTATGTACAAACTATATATCTATATGTATACAGGGTGTCTCAAAATTACCTGACCAACGGGGTATGGCGGTGTTCGGGAGGCACCACTGATCACGAAAATGACCTTCCTTTTATCCGGAAGGTCATAGTTTTTAAATGGGAGCAGGTCAAAGTTGACCAATCAGAGAGAGGCTTCAAGAGAAACGTAAGCACCTGCGAACTCTGAGTTTTCTTCCCTTGCTTTTGTTTCTCGGTGGCTTCGGGCAGGATGACGTCAGCCGAAGACATGCCTACTGGAAACAAGAAACAAGCTACCGAGAAACAAAAGCGAGGGAAGAAAACTCAGAGTTCGCAGGTGCTTACGTTTCTCTTGAAGCCTCTCTCTGATTGGTCAACTTTGACCTGCTCCCATTTAAAAACTATGACCTTCCGGACAAAAGGAAAGTCATTTTCGTGATCAGTGGTGCCTTCCGAACACCGCCATACCCCGTTGGTTAGGTAATTTTGGGACACCCTGTATACACAGAGAAATGCTCGTCCGAACGGAGAAAGACAATAAAAAACAAATGATAATAGTTTTTCTCCGTTTCAGGTCACTCTAGAAGGAAGCGACGCCTGTACCAATAACACTTTACTATCCTCCACGGAAAGTCTGGACAATTACACGGTTACGGTAGAAAGTATAGATGGCAGCACTGGCGTGTGCTACTATATATTGTTCTTGGACGTAAGTCTCTACATATATATGTATGTACATACAGGACAATAAAGTCAGCGGATGCTCTTAGAGTTTCGTAAACAAGTATAAAAAGTCCTGTTAGTCTGTACGATATACATTGAGAGAACGATATGAGGCGGATGGGAAGAGAAAAAAGATTGTCGAAAAGTCTGGAATGTCTGATTCGAGGGATTTAGATATTCGCAGGAGACTCAGAATACGAGGTAAAGTTGTAAGCTCTGAGATTTCCTTTTGCTCTTTTTAGCTGTTCCCAGTGCTGGTGATGCTGGTGATGGTAAACTGCGCCGTTTACCAGATACTAACCTCAGTCTTCAAGGTTGCCGTTCTGAGTGTAGTGGTCGCCTGTTACCTGAGTGTCAGCATCTATCAGGCTTTGAACGAAGAGGACGACATAGAGCCAGTAGGTCGTTGGTTATCCGGAGTCCTGGTGGTATTCTTCATGGCATTTTTAGTAGCTCATTCCCAGCACACGGAAGCCACCTACAGGTTGGACTTCCTGTGGAAGCTTCAGGCAACGGAGGAAAAAGAAGAGATGGAGCACCTAAAGGCCTATAATCAAAAATTATTGGCTAATATACTTCCGGAACACGTGGCAGCCCATTTTCTCTCGACAGTCAATTCCGACGTGAGTTCATCCACTTTGTTTCATGAAGATCCTGTCATCGTCTTGGAAAAAAACAAAATAGAGAGAGATGACGTGAATGATCTAATTTAGCAGGATCAATAATTCAAAAACATTATTGTAAGTTTCATCCCTTAGGAACTCTATCACGAACAGTGTGATTTCGTCTGCATAATGTTCGCGTCAATCCCGAACTTCTCCGAGTTCTACATCGAGCTGGAGGCGAACAACGAGGGCGTCGAGTGTCTCAGACTCCTGAACGAGATTATCGCGGATTTCGATGAGCTCCTGGCCGAAGAGCGGTTCAAGTATATCGAGAAGATCAAGAGCACGGGAGCAACGTATATGGCAGCATCCGGTTCGTGTTACCAAGCCATTTGTTCCACGTATAGTAATGAAACTTGTAATTGATGGATAGATCTCGTGGGATAACAATTTATATTGCTCCGACAGGTCTCACCAGGAACACCTGCGACATGAAGGACTTCAAGCACGTCACGGCTATGGCTGATTACGCACTTAGAATTCGCGAGCAATTGGCCTACGTGAACGAACACAGTTTCAATAATTTTCGCATGCGAGTTGGCATCAATATAGGGCCAGTGGTGGCGGGGGTTATAGGCGCCAGGAAGCCGCAGTACGATATCTGGGGAAACGCGGTGAACGTAGCTTCTAGGATGGATTCCACAGGAGTCCTAGATGGGATCCAGGTGACAAAGGAGGTCTGCGATATTCTAAATGCGAGAGGATATCCCTTAACCTGCCGAGGACCTATTCAGGTGAAGGGTAAGGGTAGTATGGTTACCTACTTTCTGGACGGGCCACGGGATCCATCAAAGGCTGAGGATTCTGCTACAGCTGGCAAGAACAGTACGAACAACAATACAAACGTAATCGATAAAGTCTCGCCGAGCAATGGCATATCCCTTTGAATTCGAATGTCCTAATCAATCAACGATTTTTACTAACATCCAATGTATAATCGTATCTTATATGCTATAACGTAGCACATAACGTAATTTGGCGATGTTTAGTTACGGTACTAATGGAATCTGCACTACCGGCCGAGCGAGAAGAGTAGTGCGCTTCATTAGTCATTACTGTACTCTACTTTACCGGCCACCGTGTCGATAACACAGAAATTCTGGTGAATACATGGGCAACGGATGGTCTAATGGCAATTTAGAACCTTTCAAGAGATTCCAGGACATTGAATTTCTAGAATTAATGTCATACAAACTTTTACTGAATGCTTAATGTACGATCAATGCTTAACTATGAAACAAGCTTGGGTCACTGTGGTAACAGTTTCGCAATGTTAGCGGGTTCTCTCTTCAAACACATAGAGCAGCGGTTGCTCCCGGAGGGTCCGATCGGTGTCCTGGGAGTTCCGTTAAATTTGCGTATGGTCAGGGAAACGAAATAAATGCTCCAGGAAGTTCTGAATGGTTTTCGTGCGCTCGTTCGTGTTAACCATTTTTTTTCTCGGCCGGGAAAGACGAACCTCCTATCTTTTATCCGTCATCTTCACGCATGAGCGTCTCCTCGACAGAAATATTCTTATACTTTAGGAACTAGATAAGTAAATTTCGAATAGTCTGTAAGAGCTCAAGGGATCCTTCCACGTGTAGTTGTCACGCGCTCTTTATTATATAGTATGTACTTAGAATGATCGTGCGAATTATAATTATATAAATAATATTATAGTGACTGCCGTTGTCATAGGATTTATTATGAATGACCGTGATAATTTTTACTATACTTTTCTTGTTTCCTTTATTTTAGGTAAAAATAGTTGTATAATTAATAAGGAAAATGCGAATGACGATTGTTTCATCGATATATATATATATTTTTTATTCAATGATGTGCACTCATTTAGTTAGAGCGTGCGTGAGAGCTGTTGGAATGATTTTTCAAATTTTGAATATTTTTTTAAAAAATGACATTCCATTAGGTTTTTACGATTCTCTAGTACGAATACAATAAGGAAATCGCTAAGATGTACCAAATATTATATTACTGAAGCGCGCCTGGTGCGTCATGTAAATGCATATTTTTAGAGAGAGATCAATGGGGTTCAGACATGGATTCACTTTTTCTTCGAACTCGCGCCTTATCATAAATATTTATTATGTTTGCGTGCCAAATTCGCGAGATCGTTGTTCTCCCTTCTCGAATCTCTACCTTACCGACTGACAATTCAGTGAGCAACCGCACAAGAATCAGAAAAAGTAAAGTCATACTATAACAGTAATTCTATTTTCAATCGCTCAGGACGATCTTACAGTAACCTATTACATATTATTTTTTCATACTTCTTTTTCCAAATTCTGATAAATCGCTTTGCCTGATGCGCCGCACGAACTCCTACGATTCTCTCCGAACTAATTCTAGTCAATATAAGAAATGCGTAAAGTCAAAAAACAGAGTGAAACTGACGAGATGGACGAAGTATCGGAAGACTTTAAAGGGTTGATATGTAAGACCAAAAAAAAACAAAGAAATGGTTACAAGTTACAATACAACGAAACCGTGAGAAAAGAGATGGATCAAAAATCGTAACGAGGAGGAGTGCGATTAACGATGTGAATGATAAAGAGGAAAGTTAAAAGAAGATTCTATAAAAATACACGATGGCGGATGCACGCTTACGAACGGTTCAGAAAGAAAGGGACCACGGAGTGTTAATATATATTAAGTTATTTGATAAGAGACAAAATTTAAAGTGAGGCATAACAAGACGCATAGTTCATCCTTGGCTGTAACAAAGGTATATAGGTATATATATATATATATACACATATACATATAAAGAAAGTGAAAGTGAAGAAGATAACAAAAGAGATAGTGAAAACAAATTGTGTATACGGTATAAGGAATGATACAGGTGTGTAACATGTGCTATGAATTATAATAGCTAAATTATTTTATAGGTAGCGTTATTTATTAATACGTACACAGGATGCGTATTATTATTATACTATAGATAGATTGATAATTAAAGAGACATCTAGCTAATGTAAAATAATCCAGGAGCATGCGAGTATGCCTGCAATAACGAATATTTAAAAAAATTATTTAAAAAAGGCACATACTGTACGTACCTTCGTAAACGTTGTCTCTGCGTTTCGATGTTCTTTCTGGCAGGTCCATTGTCTATACGTAAATATACTATAGATATAACTGTATACTAAGTTGAATGATACGATTTGAAAAATCGAGCCATGCGGAACGTCGTACTCCAGCATTTCCAAAATCGTAACATCCTCCCAGGCAAATAATTTAAGCACAAAGGAATTTGGATGCAGTGAGTGACAAAGAAGATCCTTGTACTATAGAATGTACCGTGTGAATACATACTAATTATAATTAGTCTCAGTCAATTTAATTCCACTTATGCAAAGCGTCAGTAATCATTCCTGGACAGGGGCAATGACAATTTTTAATAGACATAAATTGATTTCATGAGGAAATTACGAGAGTTTGGGAATATTGGATGAATTGTTCGATTAGTGGTTGATTCTGAAAGAAAAAAAATAAATTGGTTAGACATTTGTCTTATCTCGATGTAATCGGTCAGTTCTGAGATGAATTACAGGAACTTGAACTTGATTGCTGAAATCACATGGTTCGAGGTCACTTGATTGTCACACATAATGTTAAATTATGCTTCGAAACTAATGCCGAATAAATAACACGCGTGATTAATATCATATCACCAGACAAATCATGTAGAGTCAAATATGTCAAGTCATTTCCATTAATATACCGAAGATACTTATTAATGCGTTTTGCGAGAAGTTCTCAGATCGATAGTCAATATAATAAGGAGCGGATGAGTATTGAGTATGTGTATCGATTAGTCGTAACAATTGATCGTAAACGCAGTTATGAAAGGAGAAAAGAAAATATTCTATGTATCTTTATTGGCCTAAACCGAATCTGTATTGAACACACATACCTACTATACAATGCGATTCCAGGACAAACATTTTCTCATTAAATATACGAAATACAATTTTTATTAAAAAAAAAGGAACAATACATTAATTATTATTTACTTGGCCTTATATTTCCTCAGTGAATTCCGACGAGTTCAATTTAGACACATTGGATAGGATACCTTCAGAATGTTCACCTGAGTATCTGAGAGAAGAAAATTAGCTGGTCGGGTATTCTGAAGTTAACCGTGTATGTAATAAGACATTCAAGAATAGATAGTGGTAATTACAGATAATTTTGTATTTTCTGTTGTTTAACTACAATTCTCCTTCGCGTCCGTAATTTCTACTGGTATCACGTGGGAAGTAATTTTGGCGAACAGCCAATGAAAATCGATACAAGTCCATCACGTGACAAAGTGCGCATGCGCACAATTCGCATACACTTCAGTCTGAAGAGTAAAGCGGTAATGGGAACACGTGGTACTCAAGTAGCTGCTGGTGAAAATGAGATAAAATGAGTTCGAACCGTTACAAGAAGACATTTAACGACAAATGCTTTAACGTGTGTCTTGGAATAAAATAAGTCCCGTTAGTTTTTCCATTAAATTGACGTATAACGAGGTGTTCAAACATAACCGGTATGCTTGGTGCAAATCAGGTAAGATTGTGTAATGCATTGAGAGAAGACAGATGTCATCATATGGAGATTAAAAAAAAACGCGCCAAAACTTACTGATACCATCTCTATCGTTTACTGATAAATTGTGATATCCAATTGAGCCAAATATTATTTGAATTGACCGGTATATTATACATTTGAACAGGTTTAGTATTGCCGTAACCTGTTCTGACCCCTTTTTATACAAAGAATATTCTATACAGGAAGGAGTAAACCTTCGACTCCCGCCAAACCTGTATACATGTACACGGTGATCATAGAATATTTCACGAAGTGGCAGCGTCGCGGCGACTGACTGCAAAACTTGTCTAATCTTTTCTTGTTTTTATCTTAACTCGGTCTATAAGTGCTTGACACTTCGTAACAGAACTATTGAGTGAAGATCTACTTCGCGATTACTAACCGTTTAATTGAACCGAATATTATGCAATGATAGACTTTATGAAGATCAATCACTGTAATGTGTTATACATTAAATGAACATATATCGAAGCAAACGTATATTACAAACTTTTGATCGCTTTAGGCAATACTAATGACGTAAAGTTCACAGATAAAAGATTATGTCGTAATTATTTCAATTCACGTAATTTCTGCTTTACTTTCTTTTTTAATTAGCTCTGCAATAACAAGTGTGTAATGTGTAGACGATGGTGTCGAATTACCATGACGTATTATTCAATATTGCTTTTGATTACCTGATGTTATTATTTAATCTTATCAAAAATATCCACTTTATTTCTTTTGGATGAAATAATTTAGAAGTGATATTCGAGTATTATATGTGCTACTTTATTACACTGGCACATTTTATATGTATATTAATTGTGCATTGTATTGTTTATAGCACTGAATAATACCACTACATGAGTATGAGGTTAACTACACAATTGATATCAAATGTCTGCTGCAAATATTACCGGACGCTAGAAATTGGAGAAGACTTGGCACAAGCATAGCAGAAAGCGCATTCCTCGTGGACAATGAAAACCTGTGACATTTTATTATAATAACTAAAGTCTGAAATCAGTTGTTATCATCGTTTTGTCACGTAAGGATCATCATGAGTCTAACATCAGCAGAGTCTACGGTAAGTCCTCGTTTTTTTGAGAATTTGAATTTTAAAAATTCCCGCTCTACGGAGGCGCATATAGACCCGGTGTTTAGAGTGAAAATTAATAAAGTTTTATTAATTGTTTGTTATAGAATTCACTGTTAGATCCAATTGTGTATTTTCGTAAACCAAATTATTTTTCATAAAAGTTAAATGATGTTGTGTAAGAATTATTTCTGCAACTTGTTTTCAACTTGATAACCGTCTTGTTTCGTTAGCTTGCTGTCGTGTGCTTTCGTACATTTCGAAATTGACTAACAGTACTGAGAATGACTGTTTCTCTTAGGATGGATAGAAATACATTTGAAAAGCATGACATTCCTCTAAATACTGAGTTATGGACTTGAGAACGTAGCTTTATATATATGTGAGGATTATTGTTGTAAAGGTCGCTTAACAAACACATAACAGCTGACCAGTGATGAACCTTTACTAGTCTAGTGCATTTATCAATGAACCAGTAACCAGGAGTTCAAAGATCATGATTAGAAGACATTATTTAGGTCATTCATAGCGCGATAGCACGGTTATTATTTAACAATTTATATAGACAATGACTTGATTAAACAAAATCTGCTTGACTACATTATTAATAGAACATTGGTTTTGTTCAAGATATACATAAGAAGTAAGATAAAGCTGTCTATAAAGCAGCAAAGTTATTACATGAAAAATGCTAGAGTTATTCAATAAATGAAAAAAGGGAAAAGGATTAATTGTTCTCTATATTCTTTCTTCAGCTAGGTCAGATGAAGGTACAGTCTCCTGAAAGATGGTGGGAAAAATACTTTGGATGGCTCACACATGTATCAGTAGAGCCCACTATGTGGCTATATATGATGGCTTTTATGATAACATCAGTAGTCGAACAATCTTTCTTCGTTTATAAGTCCTGTCGTGTCGATCATGGATTTTCTGAAGAGACATGTCGTAATATCAGCAGCAATTCTACATTAAACGCCATAGTGCAGGTACAATTTAGATTAGTAATTTACTATTACGATGACTATGATGTTTATAATCATTTTTCTTCATTGTTATCAGTAATACTGCAATTTAGATAAGACTTTCCTTATAATCCAGATAATTTCTCTCTAGTAATTTTCCTAAGTATCGTAAATCTTTTAGACCTAGAGATGAAAAGAAGTTATTCTTTTGATTATTATTTGTTAATTAATTATAAATGCTAACAGATTATATGCTTTACTTTTTGTTGTATGCAGGTCACTGTCTCAGAATTTCATCAATGGAACAATATTGCTGGTCACATAGTGCCGATTATTCTGGCAATGTTTTTTGGCAATTGGAGTGATCGGCGTGGAAGAAAGTTACCATTGATTGTTGGGCTTTTTGGCAAACTCATTTATTCTCTCATGATTGTAGTGAATTCATTGATGGACACTTGGAATTTAAATATGGTGGTATACACTGCTAGTTTACCAATGGGAATCTTAGGTGGTGATGTTGCCATTTTCGCATGTTGTTTTGCATACATATCAGACGTGTCTTCGTTGAAGCAACGAACACTTAGAGTGACAATATTAGATGTAGCATATCTCAGTACAATGCCAACAGGTTAGTACGTGCACAATTATTTTATTGAATTCAAGTATTACAATTTTTTGTTAAATATATTTTTAGGTATTGCCCTGGGTTCGTATCTGTACAACAACGTTGTGAATTCTTCCTATACCATAATGTTTGTTATCAATTCATCATTACTGGTGCTCTCGATTATTTATTCAGCAGTCAGGCTAAAATGTAGAACCACTGACCATCAGCAACCACTTGCCGGTGTCAATATTTTTACTGACTTCTTTGATCTGAAGCATGTAATTGCAACTCTTAAAACTTTAACCAAACCTAGACGAAATTCTGGTAGACTTCACTTATGGATACTGCTACTCGCCATGGCTCTTTATACTTTTCAACGTGATGAAAAATCTATGAGTTATTTGTACACACAATTGACTTTCCAATGGGACGTTGCTTCCTTTAGTCAGTTTCGCACGTATCAGTCATGCTTATTTGTAGTAGGTGCGTATAATTCTAGTAAAAATAATTCTAATACACTGTATTTTATGTAAACATTTTTTTGTTGAAATCTTTTTTTTTGGTTAGCTGTACTTATTGCTGTCCCTATTTTAAGCAAACTAATTGGACTCAGAGACACCATAATAGTGGTTATCGGCGCATGTGCACATGCTAGTGGAAGAGTCATATTTGCTCTAGCTGAGATACCAGAATTATTTTACGTCGGTAAGTACAGTACAAATTGGATTCAAAAGATTAAGTAAAATACTTAATTTCATTTTTACATTTTTCACAGGAGCTACTATCGCTGCACTCGGTCCAATTGTGGCACCAGCGCTGAGATCGATGACTTCAAAATCTGTGCCGATGCATGAACGAGGTACAGTCAGATAACTTTTATAATTGATTTGACGAGCGGATATCCATACTTACAAGTAAATAAATTCCTCTAATAGGAAAAGTCTTCGCGATGCTGTCAATCTGCGATACCGCAGTACCACTCTTCAGTGGAATTTTATATTCACAACTTTACAATGCAACAATCAACACAGCTCCTAGTTCTATTTACTGGCTGACCTTTTCTACTCAGATTGCTGTTCTTCTTCTTATACTGTATGTAATGTATTGGTTACGATTATAAACATAACGTCAATTCATCATTGAAGATCAATGTCATTTATAATTCTCCATTAATCTTTTTTCAGGTTAATTCACGTCTCTCCTGGATCCAAAAGCTTGGATCACGAATTTTCAGAAGAAAATGATTCTGGTGAATCAGCGTTGAATTCCAGAAGGGAATCACTGGAAGCAGTAAACTGATGAATCCCATAAATTCGTAGAATACATTATATTTTTGCCAATCAAGGCACTAGGAATAATTATTACATTAATTATGTACAATTATTTGTACAACTTTGTTATGTGCGATGCATATTTATATTAGTAACGATATCAGTGCCTCGTTGTGACTTATATGTATTATCCTGAATGACAATTATGGATACATGATCATTGTATAATGACATGGTGAACCTTTTTTGCTCAAAAGAATTCCATAGATAAATTAACTTAAAAGTGTCTAAAACTAAGTTATAGTATTTTAATGTGGAGACTGTATAATCATTTATGACATACAATTATAGATCATACAATATAAACTAAAGACTTGAATATATACATAGTCGTTAACTATTCTGAATGAAAGATTTCATCGTTACAGAAATAAACATTAGTATCCATCATTGCGGATATGATAAAGAAAATATGTTTATTCTTTTCACCTCTATTATAGTACTCACTGTAGCATCTACTATATTTAAATATTATTGGCTAGCAAGTAGTAAAACTATTATTGGCAGTAAGCAAATGAGTGTCTTCCTGTTACAATCAAAATGATCCAAGTAATATGTAGGAACCAACTGATAAGAGTCTTCTAAGGTTGTGATTGGTTCCTTTATGTTGTAGTATTATTGTAGAGGGGGAAGAAACTAGTTGCATACTTTGTTTAAGTAAAATCTTTTCGATTTTTCTAAATATCAAGAGACTCGGTCGAGTCTCGCGCCAAGTACAGGCAACCGGCTGTACAGGGCGCAGCGCGCCGAGACTCTTTACTCGAGTCAACTCCTTATACCTGTGTTTGGAACGAAATATCTTATAAACCGTTATATATGAGGAAAAGTTATTGATACATTCACTATAGGAATTGAAGGTTCTGAAGCGATTCCCACCAAGTTCAATACGATTAGTGTACGAGATCAGGGCGTATTGAAATGGCGAGCGAGATGATTTTATTTCAGTTCCGTCGTCGTCGTCTTCGCACGTCCATCGCATTTTTTACACGACAGATGGCGCTGACTGCTGTGCCTTCTTTACCTATTTGTACTCTGGATGGTGTTGGTAATTTACGAATACACAACACAATCAAATACACTTTGTACGTGAAGCTACCGTTCACACCGAATTTCCAGTTGACATAAGGCTGCTTTCACAATAGTATAGAATTATTAAGGCTTTCATCTGGAGCGCGTGTGTATGCGTGTACGTATGTGCGTATGTGTGTGCTTTAACATAGTTCCTCGTACTTTAGGTGA